CCCCCCCCGATCCTGTGTCACAGAGACAGGGGACGAGAGAGGGGGAGGGAGCGAGAGCAGTGGCCCAGCTAACCAGTTGGCAGCCTCTCGTGGCACATGCCCGGCCCAATAAACCGGTGGGATTAATGTCGTCTTAACTGGGCCCGGGCGCGGGAGAGATCACGCGAGTGGGCGTGATCGGCGTTTCACCCTTTTTTCCGATGAGCCCCCCTGGCGCCGGGGGGCGTGCAGGCGGAACAGGCGCGGCCATAGATGCTCTGCCCCACGGAAGAGCTCCCCCGTCCCCTCGCGGCGGGCGGGACGGGGTGGGGCGGGAAAAAAAAAGGAGCCATGCGCCCGGAGTATCCACGCGCGCCGGGTCCCGAGCCAGCCGCGGGGCCGGGGGGGGGGGGGGGGGCGGGCAGGCGACGGGAGGGCGCGGCACGGGGAGGTCCTTGAGCTAGCGCGACCCCCCAGCCAGGGGCATGCCTTGCTGGGAATCCCCAGCGCACCCGCCCACACGCACGCACCTCTGGGGGGGGGGGGGGAGGGGGAGGGGGGGGGGGGGGGGGGGGGGGGAGCGGGCGGCGGGTGGCGGGTGGCAGGGGCGCGCATGCCGGTCGGGAGTGTGTGTCGCCACGCGAACGCCCACCGCCCGGGGAGGGAGGAACACGGGCGGCCTGGGCCGGGCGCGCTCGTGGTCTGGTGTGCAGGCCCGGCGTGCGCGGGAGCACGCGCGTGCGCCTGGACGGCATCGGTCCGCCCCTCGGGGCCGGCCGCCAACGCTCCCTCGGGCGATTCTCCCGCCGGAAGTGCAATGATTCCCACATCCGGCCGAGGGTGCCGGCGAGGCGTGGCCGCCAGCGCAGGGGGCCCGGCCCGGGCCGGGGGGGGGGCGGGGGGCGGGATGCCGGCCGGGCGTCCCGGCGCACTCGGCGCACGGCAGGCTCTGTGCCAACTTTCCGCCCTCACGTCCCCCCCACGGACAGTGGAGGCCTCTCTTGGGGGCGCGGGAGCGAGATCGACCGCCGGCCACAGGCCAGCCTTTCAGCCCTGCCGGTGTGCGGCGGCCGAAGATCCCGCCCGGCTGCCGCTCCCCAAACAAAGCCCCGGGCCGCGGCGGGCTCAAGAGGACGCGGAGCGCCTTCTCACGTCTGGCCGGGGGACGAGAGCGCGGGGGGGGGGGCGGGACACCCAAATCGGACCCCAGCCTCGGGGATCTCAACTGGTCGGGGAAATAGCCTGCTGGTCGATGCGCCGGACCGTCCCACCCCTCCCTATCCCCCTTCTCCTTCCCTCCTCCTTCTCCTTCCCTCCCCCTTCTCCTCCCCTCCTCCCCCTTTCCCTCATCCCCCCGTCAGTATGACCGGCACAATCGCGGACCCTCAAGTCCCGGCGCCGGGCTCCGCCAACCCGGAGCAGTCGCGCAAGCGCGCGGCCTCGGACGACAGCGCCTCCGACGGCATGGAGCAGGTTTCCTCGCGGCAGATCGCGCGCAAGCGCAAGAAGCTCATGAAGCTGGCCGTGCGTGCAGTTGCCCGGCATTCTGTCTGCCCCCCGCCTTCTCACTGACCTGTCCCCCTCTTTTTGCATGGCCCTCTCTCTCTCTCTCTCTCTCTCTCTCTCTCGGCTCCCTCTTCGCCCGCCAACCCGAGCAGGAGCCACCATCGCTCACCATCCACGACCAGTCGCGCGTGTACAAGATGAAGGTTCGCGCCTGTCTCCCCCTCCTTTGCTTCCTCCTCTCGCCCCCCCTTCTCCTTCGCCTCCCCACCTCCCGCACACGCTGCATACACAGCCCTTCCCCTCTGACGCCCTCATGCTCGAATGCGCAGGACATCCGCGATCTGGTCCTGTGGACCATCGGCGAGGGGGTCAACACCCCATGGGTCTTGATCCGGCAGAAGCACCACATCCGCCGGGTGGTCATGGCCGTGGCCACCGGGCTCAACCTGCGGGACCCCCAGCAGCAAGAGGCGCTGCCGGTGCTGCGTCAGCTGTTCGGCGCGCCGGCCGACTTCCAAGCGGCCGGGTCGACCGCGCGGCCCTTCGCCTGCCTGGATGAGACGGCCTCGGTCGAGTGCGACCAGAATCCCGAATGCGCCGGGGCTGGGACGGCGTCCGGCGAGGGCGACAAAGCCGCCGAGGCCGGGGCCAGCGCCGCGGCCGACGACGCCCAGCACCAGAAGCGCGGCTGGTGGGTGCGCACGTGCGCCCCCGGCGAGAAGACCCGCATCTATCACTCCGTGTCGGCTCTGCTCCAGTGCGAGCTGACATCCGAGGACAAGAAGGCCCGGCGCGCGTGGGCGCTGGAGCAGCAGGCCAAGCAGCCTGGCGCCGGGCCGGCGTTGGCCGACGATGCCAGCCCCACCACCGCCGCCTCGACGGACGCCGCCCCTGCCTCGGCCGGTACGTCGCACTCCCCTGTCGCTGCCGCTGCCGCTGGTGCCGCTGGTGCCGCTGGTGCCGCTGGTGCCGCTGGTGCCGCTGGCGCCGCTGGTGCCGCTGGTGCCGCTGGTGCTGGTGATGCCACCGCCGCCACTGCCACCGCCGCCACCGCCGCCACCGCCGCCACTGCCACCGCCGCCACCGCCGCCACCGCCGCCACCGCCGCCACCGCCGCCACCGCCGCCACCGCCGCCACCGCCGCCGCCGCCACCACCACCACCACCACCACCACCACCACCACCACCACCACCACCATGATGGAGGATCAGCAGCCGGAGGATGTGCTCACCTCGATCGCCAGCCTGCGCGAGCTCTCCGCCCAGCGGGACCAGTACTACTACCGGATGTTGCTGGCCCTTGAGGCGCACCAAGAGCGCGCTGCTCGCATCCAGGGTACCTCCCCGGGGCCGCTGCTCTTTGCTGGGCCCCCCGGCTTCGGGCCTGGCTTGCCGCCCGGTGTGGTTCCCGGTGTGGTGCCTGGTGGGGTGCCTGGCCTGGCGCCGGGTCCGGCGTCTGGCCCAGCGCCTGGGTCGCTGCCCGGCATGGCTCACGGCTTCGCGCGCGGTCCACTGGCGGGTCCTTTCTCTTCCACGCTTCCTGCTGGCAGTGGTGCTAATCTTCCCATGAATGTGCTCCCACGTCCCCCCCTTCCGGGCGTCCATCCGCCCACCGCTCTCTCCTCTTCCTCCTCCGATTCGTCCTCCTCCTCCGATTCGTCCTCCTTCTCCTCCTCCTCCGATTCGTCATCCGCCGATTCCTCCTCCTCCTCCTCCTCCTCGGATTCCTCCTCCTCCGATTCCTCCGATTCCTCCGATTCCTCCAACTCCTCCGACTCCTCCGACTCCTCCAATTCGGATTCCGACTCGGATTCCCCTCCGGATTTCCCGCTCCCCCCGACATTGCCTCCTCCGCCACCGGGCTTCGCCCTGGCCATGCTGCGGCCTGTCACGGGTGCCCCGCCCCGTCGCCTGCCTTCCGCCGCCTCCGCTTCTACCACCGCCGCCGGTTCTATCGCCTCCACTGCTGCCGCCTCCGACGCCGCCTCCGACTCCGCCGCCGCCGCTACTCCCACTGCCCTGGTCAACGTCCCCCCTTCGGCTACTGGGCCGGTTTCGCGACCCCCAATGCGACCCTCCTTTCCCATGCCGCCGCCGCCGCCCCCTCATGGCCTCATGATGCCCCCTCCACATGGCTTCATGATGCCCCCCCCGCCGTTTGGGCACATGCCTCCGCCCGGCTTCCCCTTTCCCTTTCCCCGGCCTCCCTTTCCCTTCCCCCCGGCGGGCATGCACTTTGATCCGTCACGGCTTCCGGTTCCCCTGCCACTGCCGTTGCCACTGCCGCTGCCACTGCCGCTGCCTCCACCGTGTGCCAATGCCAAATCCCCGCAACAAGCCGCCCGCGATCAGGTCCTCAATATGATGGTCTTGTCGAAGGAAATCCTGCGCGCCAACAACTACTTCCTTCTGGATGACATTTCCTCGGCGGATGTGGTGGATGCCGAGTCGCCAGCGGCGCATCGGCCGCCCGTGGGCTTCGGCCCCGGCGCCCCGGCCCCGACCAGCCCCCTGCCGGCGGCGTCCCTGAAGCCGGTTCCCTTCGTGGCCAGCGCGGCCGCGGTGGCCGACGCCGGGACCGAATTCGACGGCCCGCTGACCGTTCGCGAGGAGGATCTGATTGCCATCGACTGTGAGATGGTGCGGCTGCCCCTCCCCCTCCCTACATACACGCGCGCGCGCGCATATGTCCATCAGCAGTCTGTTTCTCCTTTCCAGTCTGCCCCCTTGGGCTAACCCCCACCCCCCCTCCCCCGCATGCGCGCACGCTTATCGTCTTGCCCCCTCTCGCGAAATCCACCAGTGCATGACTGAGGCCGGCCAAGAGCTGACGCGCCTGTCGGCCGTCAATCACAAGCTCGAGGTCCTGGTGGACATCCTGGTCAAGCCGTATCGGCCGATCATCGACTACAATACCAAGTACGTAGCGCCATTCGGCTATCTCGCTTCGCCACGCGTCCGACCCTCTCTCTCCTTCTCTCTCTCTCCTTCTCTCTCTCTCTCCTTCTCTCTCTCCTTCTCTCTCTCCTTCTCTCTCTCCTTCTCTCTCTCCTTCTCTCTCTCCTTCTCTCTCTCCTTCTCTCTCTCC